TCTCTCTCTCTCTCTCTCTCTCATCTCCTGCCCCCTCTGGCTCCACTCATTCTCAGTAGTGGAGGCTTCAGTGTCCTCATGGCTCAACCCAGGTCCAGTCCTAAGATGGCTTTAGAACTGGAACAAGGGTGGCAGTGGCAGCCAATGGTTCCCCAACTGGGTGGGGGACCCAGAGCTGCAACAGGAAGAAACAAGACACAGTGGTCAAGAGGGCAAGAATCAGTACCCAGACAGGCAGAAAAGGACCAGATCCCAGACATGGCAAAGGACGGGAGCAGAGAGCACAAGCCTGATGAGGTCGAAGGAGTCACAAGTATCTCGGAGGTTTACCCTGCACACCACCCCTCCCACGTGCTGTCACAGGGCTTTCTAACACAACTACCACTTCTGGAGGCTGGCAGCACCTGGCTCAGTCTCACTTTGCAGAGCACTTACCCTACTTTTTACAAACAAAATTTGATTCCAGGTGTGTGACCCACAAGGCTGTACAACCTTGGGATGCTTTACTGTTTTAAATTCACATTACACATTACTTTGCATTACACAGCAGACTGCAAGCCGGAAGTAAGACCCCAACCTAGGTTTTGCCCCCTCCCCAGACACCTTTGCTCTCCAAGGTTAACACAGTCCTGGCAAGGTCCCCTCCCCACCACGCTGAGAGTCATCCTAGGATAAGAAAAGGGGGGATTTCACCAGGGGGGCTCAAAAACCCAGGCAGAGGTTAATATGCACGGCCACAGTTCCGCACCTTCCACTCTCACCACGTCTGGTCTTCTGCCACCATCCCCTCACATGCCACCTGGATGCGCATTTTCCTCCACGGTGCATGAGGCTGTTTGTGAAGGGAAGATAACAGTGCCTAGTGCCAGGGCCCACGCTCCGCTCCACTCCACAAAGTGGCCCAGCAGAGGGACCAGCAGGCAGCCTTACATGTTTTAAGCAGCCGGGAGAAACAAAAGGCACAAATGTTGCACTTCCTCGTTTTCCCATTGGTGGTTCCTTCTGCCCTGGGCCCCACCCTACCACTCAGCCCTCTGTCCCCACCTTAGCCACACAACCCACCCCACACTCTAACCTCCAGGAGGGCTTTCCTTGTTTGTCCTCCTGAATCCACATGAATCACTAATTATTGATTTCAACCCAGACACTCAGTGAATGACAAATACAGTGTAACAAATACCAATACACATTTAGGACTGGCAAGTACAAAGCTACCTGCCTGGTACGGAGCTACCTGCCTCCCTGAGTCTGCCTGAGCACACAGGAAACACTGCATCCTGACCCACACCTGGGCAGAAGACTCACTAAACTGCCAAACCTTTGTCCTTGTGTGCCGGAGCAGGGAGGGCTGGCATTAATGACCTCACCCCGGTTTCTTAACTTGGCTCTACACTGGAATCTCCCAGGAGTGCTGAAAGACTGACGCCTAGGTCACCCTCCAAGAACCCACTTTTAATTGGGCTGGGGTTGCCGCCTGGATTTGTAAAAGTTCCCCAGTGATTTTGACATGCACCCAAGTTGGAGAACCACTGACTGAAAACATTTGTGTGTTCAGGCATTTTTCAAAGCAGTCAAGACACTTAGAACACCTCATAGCCTTTCACTGTCAAGATAACCCTTGGAGGTTATGATCCTGTTTTACGGAGACTCAGATGTCAGTCCCGGTGAGGCTGAGATTGGAACTCAGGCTCTCGAACTCCAAGTCCATTCCCTTTCTACCTATACGTGAACACTTGCAAGGGTGTAGTGTAGACAATGCAGGAAAGCAATCTTCACTGCCAGCAGGTCATAAATAAACTCCATAAATGCAAGACACCTAGATTTGGAGATGCAAACTCCACAGGCAACAGTGATGGATTCTCTTCCAAATGCGGGGAATCCGGAATCCAGCCAGAGAGAGGGCGTGGGGCGTGCTCATGTGTGAGGTCTGAGGCAATGGGAAGGGAGGGACAGGTCCTGGCTAGAGAGCTTATCCTACACCCAAGGTACCCCATCACATGGTGCTCAGTGGCATGGAAAACACTGTTGAATTTGAGAATGGATGAGTGCTGAACAAAGGGGGGGGCTCTTTACTGGGGAGAGAATCCTTAAGAGAGGTGTCAAGGACTCACCTCTCGTAACCACAGTTTCTTTGTCCCGCTCTAAGCATCTGACCTTCTGCAGAGGCACAGAAACCCATCCCAACACATCCCCTGCCAGGCAGCCTCAGTTCGTTGTCTCTCTTCCTCCCAGAACAATGATCCAGCCTCCTTGGTGAGGGGGCGTAACACCAGTACCTTCAAACACGTTTTTGTCTCCAAACTACTTAGGTAGGGCAAAGCATCCCTTCCACCCGCTTCTCCAACCACACCCACCTCCCCTCAAGATAAAGCACCATCATCACCAAACCAACCTTCTGGCTGAGTGGTGACAATGGTGCCACGTTGGATTAGGAATGAATGTGGACCAAGCACCATGTTTGTAATACTGCACGAAACCACGCCACCATCCACATGCAGATGGGGGGACCGCACCACTGCGAGGCCTGGGGCAGACAGACCTTTAAGGACAGGAAATGTTCCTTCCTAAAGACAACACACAGTATTCTGCGCCAGAAACGGGCCTCTTGGGTACCCTCTTCCAACCTGAGTCACACACCGGCTGCCTCTAGTATGTCCCCCAAAGCCGAGCGTTGATGGGAAAGAACCGCAAGGGCTTACAGGAAGCAACAGCAGGCTAAACTTTCCCATCGATCGCACTGATAAGCAGCGCCACTTACCCAGCACAGCCAGACAGCTCAGCACCTGGAAACAGCACTTCATGTCGGCGGCAGCGGAGAGAAGACACAACACAGGGCGCGTCCTCTTCCCCCAGTGCTTAATCTCTCATTTCTGGCAATCCACTTAGACCTCCTGGGGACCGTTTCGGAAACAAGAAATTTAACTCAGAAAATAAGAACAGGTTAAAGGGGAGAGGCCAGCAGGAGGGAGTCAGGGAGGGGAGGCAGGTGGCATGTGGTTCAATTCCCCTAAGCCAAGGAAGGAAGTGTCCAGAACAGTTCTGCAGGCACTCTCGGCTTCTGCCACATCTTGTGCCTTGCGGTTTCCACTGGAACTGTATAGACTGCGGTGGATTAATCCTCAAGGAACAGGGGGGGGAAAGTCTGAGAAAATCCTTTCATCCACTGATTATACAGAAATGTCCTTGGCTTCCCAGTGAAGGTGTCTGCAATCTCCCTCATTCGGAATCCCCACAGGGAACAGAGCAGGTTTTGTCAAAACCTTTTGACAGCCACATCGCCCTGGCCGGCATCGACTGTTTGGGTTTCCTCGTCGAAAAGTCCGTCTCCAATCATGGTGGTAGGTCACGGAGCTGCCACCTGCCCCAGACCTGCCCACAACACACGAAGCAAGTTGGCGTTCGGCAGCCCCTGAAGTGTTCCCACAGTACCAGCAGATTTCTAAAACAAACACAACAGAGATTTATCAAAGGCAAACAGATACGACCTCCGCAGAGCCGAGAGGGGCTGAGCGGCTCCATACACCTGGCTCCCGTTCCCGGGCCGTGACAGTCACCCTTCGCATATTCTGACCTTGGGCAAGTCGCTCCGTTGGCCTCCCGCCTCAGTTTCCCACCCCCCAGAGAAGAGCGACTGCAGGAAGCCCGATTGTTCCTACCACACTTTCGCCCAAATGCTTCACTCTTGGGAATTCCTTTCGCCTCCTACCGAGCCCGGCGCCGCGGGCAGCCCCACCCTCCGCGGGGGCAAATCGGGCAAGGGGCCCCGAGGTGGGGCCGCCACTCCCGGTTACACCCCCGACCCCCGCCCCAGACGTGGGAGCTCGGCGCGCGCCGCGTCCCAGGTGGCCCCGCTATTGTTTTACCTTCCCGGGTGTTTATTTTTCGCTGAGTGTAAAGAAAGGAGGCAGAGGGAGAGGGGACCCGGGGCGCTGCTTTCCGCTACCGGGGCGCGCTCGCCGTGCGCCCAGCCGGCCAGGGGAGGGTCTCGGGCCCGACCCCCGAGCCCAGCCGGCGCCGGGCCCGGCGCCGCCCCTCCCCGCGCCGCCCTCCGGCTCCGCTCCCCTCGCTGCCGCCCCTCCCCGCGCCTCCCGCGCTCCCCGCGAGCCTGACCTCACAGCCGCGCTCTCCCTCCGTGCGTCCGTCCGCGGGTCTGTCGGTCGGCCCGGGCGCACGCCTCTGGGGACGCACCGCCTCCTCCCTCTCCTCCCGCTACGGCACCAGCCGCGGCGCTCGGCCCCTCCCGAGTCCCCGCCCCCTCCAGCCCGGGCCGCTGCACCGGGGCTGGCCTTGCGCCGGGCGGGGGGCGGGGGCCTGGAAGAGAGGCCCCGCCCCCGGGCCCACCCCTCCCAGCCGCCCCCGGAGACGAGCGGCAGGGCTGGGGGCCGGTCCCGAATCTGGCGGGGCACCCCGGCGCCGTACCTGCCGGTGGCGGGGCTCACCCAAGGACCGGGACACAGCTGGCATGCGGAGGGCAGCCCCGAAAGTTAATCAGGGGTTCACACGCAGACTCCCCCCGGGCCGGCGGCTAGATGCACAGGCCCTTCCCAAAGCCCGGCGAAGGACCCACGGGCCTTGTGGAGGGTGACACAGGAGCGAGTCCTTTCTGCGAAACAAAGCCCTTTGCAGGATACTTGAATCTATTCATATAGTGGAACCCCAAGTTGCGCTTCACACCCTGGAACGAATTTCCTAGGAGTTAAAGACCGAAATGGACTCTGGAAACAGCCTGGGTTCTAAGCCGGTTCCCCTACTTCCTCAAGGCGGACCTTGGCTGAGTACTCTTTATGCCTCAGTTTCTCCATCTGTTATGTGGGGAAATAGCCTTTACTTAATAGAGTTATGTGAGCTGCCCATGACACACTTGTAAAACACTTAAAATGGTGCCTGCCACATCTTAAGTGCTCAGTAAATGCAAGCTATAATTATTTTATGAGGAACAATCCCATCCAAGCAAGTGCTTTGTGATTCATTCAATACGTATACAGCATACACGTGCTGGGTAGAAGAGGGCAGTCCTGCCCTCCCGGAGCTTGCAGTCTAGCGGGGAGACAGTAAAACAGGTATGGCAAGAAAAGAACAGTGTTGAGGAGTCATGTGCAAGAACCGGGGCCCTGTTTTGGAGAGTTGAGGCATGAGGAGAAGGGGGGTGAATCAGCCAGGAATGCTTCTCAGAGGAAGTGAAAATGAGGGAGAATTGAAGGATCAGAAGGCGCCTCCAGAGGAAGAGAGGAATGAAGGAAGGAGTCACAGGCCTTGGAATCAGCATCCTTAAAGATCCAGAGGGGAGAGAGACAGTGACCCACTTAGAGGACCAGAAATCTCTGTTGGGCCCAAACTAGGCTGTAAGAAAGTAACAAGAAATGAGCAGAGAAGAAATCCTGTGCCAGAACTGGGAGGACTTTGTATGGTGAGTTAAGGAGTTTGGACTTTAGCCCAGGGCCTTTGCCAAGCGTCTGCAGGATTTGATAAGACAGTACTGTTAGCAGATGTCCCTTTTAGGAAGACCACTCTGGCCTAGGTGTGGAGGATGGACAGGAGAGGAGCTCGACAGGAGGGTGGGGGTGTTGCTGCAAATCCAGCCAAGAGGCGATGGTGACCAGGACTGTGGAAAAGGCAACAGGGACAGAGAGGTGTGAGCGGGTCCCCTTGATGTGGGGAGGCAGGCTCCATGGAGTGCCAGGCGGAGGGTGAGGAATGGGCCAGAAAAACCAGTTCAACCTCAACAGCTGAGATCAGGATATGCAGGATAAGGTTAGATGGGTTGAGTCTGAGATGCCCAAGGGGCATGCAAGTGAAGAAGTCCAAACAGCACTTGGGGTGGGGGGTGGGGTGGAGCTCAGAACTCAGAAAGGCGCCATGGGTTTGTAAGAGATTTTTCACCCTAATGGACCGCATGACAGTGAAAGGATATAGTGAAGGAACAGACTGATAATTCACTTATAAAAAAGAAATGAATACCCCCCAGCATGCAGGGCAATGAAGGACATGCTACGCGGGATACAAAAATAACTACGGGGTCTTATTTGCCCCCACACCTCTCCCTTGGCTTTAAATTACTTGCCGGCAGGATTTGCCCTTAAATAATCATTTATTCCAAATAACTCTTGGTATTGTGATCTGCATATAGTAATTGCACTGTAAATACTTCAATTAAATTGAATTGGATTAAGTATTTATCACATATGCCAAGTATTACATTGAAAATCTTTCTTGTGTGTTAAAAATTACCTCTTTCCCCCAAGACAGCCCTACCTCTGGTGTCTCTCACTCCTCTTTATCTGCTGGACTCCTTTATTTATTTATTGAGCATCTACTATGTGCTCAGAAAAATCTGCTCTCATGGTGCTTACATTCCAGGGGGAAACAGGTAAATATATAACGTGACATGTGTTCTGAGGGAAGTGGGCTACGGGAATCCTGTGTGTATGTGTGTGGGCGGCAGGGGGGCGGAGGGAAGAGGTGTGGTGATCAAGGAAGGCCTCTCAAAGGCAGGGACATTCGAGCAGAGACCAGGTTAGAAGGAGGTAGGGAGCCTTGGGGGTCTGGAGGAAGAGCATTCCAAGGTAGGGAACCACAAGTGCAAAGTCCCTTAATGAGCTCAGAGACTAAAAGGTGTGTTAGTGTGCCTGAAAGGGCCTAAGAGAGGAGGAGAGGAAGGCATGTTTTCAAGGAAATCGCAGAGGTGAGATCCTGTAGGACCGTATAGGCCATGGGAGCACTTTGGATCGCTCTGGCTGCAAAGGATAGAGCTCTGGGGGGGGGGGGCTAAAAAGGAGGCTCAGGTGAGAGATGACCACAGCTAGGACTAAGGTGGTAGAGATACAGGTAATGAGAAAAGTGTGGCATCTGGAAGCATTTTGAAAGTATACTCAGTGGAATTTTCTGAAGAACTGGATATGGAGGGGGCGAGAAAGAGAAAAGTCAAGGAATCTTCCAGAAGAACTACCTCGGCCTGCTTTGGAGCTCCCTGACCCCACCAAGCTGCCCAACCTCTTCTCCAAGACCAGCCTTCTCAAGTGTTTACTCCTCCACTTCCTCCATCCTTGAATCCTGTACTCCATGATCCCTTCTCAGCTCTTTCTTTTCAACCTACCCTACCTCTTATTACCTAGACCTCTTGCATCCTTCTGGACGATCTCTCAACCCTTGACTTCCATTGCCACCCCAGAGATGTTACGGCGGGTTCCCAACATGGCATCTTTCTAATTCCAACATTGATGGAACATCTAAGATAACCTAAGGTATTCAAAGAACTGTGCTAACTCACTGTAGGGCAGGGAGAGTAAAGTTCAATGAAAAGAATGCCTCTGCCCTCCACACACAAACACAATTAAATGAAGTAAGCGCTGAACAGTGGCATGATGGTGGTCCTTTCAGGAGGTCATCTGCAGGCAGAGAAAGAATCATAAGGGAAGGAGAGGCCTCAGAGGAGAGGAGGGACAGTCCCCAGTCAGCCATTACGCCTGGTGCCCGGGCCTGACATCAGTAGCTTGCTTTACAACATCTTATGTTGGAATGTTGAAGTCTCTCTTGGATTGACTGCAATCAGGTGGATATTTGGAATGTTTTGGAAGACTCCTTAACCCCACCCCTCCACCCCCCAGGGAGTTGAATTCAGAAGGCTGCAGAAGCCAGGCTGACACACAGCTTCAGCAAAGCATGGCTGCTGGGAACAAAGGTCCAGTGTTGCTGGATTTTTTTACTCTTCAAGAAAAGTGGGAAATCCAGATTTTCGTTGAATTCTTTCTAATTCCACCCCACCCCACCCCACCCCCGCCATTGGAAGCCAGTGTTTAAAACTAAATGAAGCCCTGTGGGGGAACAACAACACAAAATCTGTGGCCACTGGTGCTATCAGTTTGAGGTCTCCAGACCTATTGTAGCTTTAATCAAAGGCTAATATAAAGCCACAAGTGACATGAAGTTACAAAGGAAAAAAAAGGGGGGGGGTAGAAGGGGACATTAGGCAAATTCTATTTGTCAAGTGAAAAGAAAAGTTGAGGGCAAGGTGTTTCGTGTAAATATAGCCTGACACGTGGTGCTCACAAGCACCAATATTAATGGCTCTTAACTGCCCTTTGAAATGCCTAGCGAGAAGAGCAAAACTCCCCACCACCAAATCATTCGGAGGGCAAGCTTTCTTCCTGGTGATTGCCTGCCTACACAGGCTAGGGCACCCAGAGCTAAAGACTACAGATAGCTTACACGGGATGCCATTTGTCTTTAAAACAAATTTTTAAATCGAGTTGACTATTGCATCTTGCTTGAGATCAGGGTGGCTAGGGCGTAGGTCCCTAAACTACTTCCTCACAGGTGGGCGCTCAGAACCTGAGGGGCGCCATCTGGCATTGGAGAAGAGTCTGGATTTGTCCCCCACCCCCACCATGGAACTCCGAAGACTTGGTTTTTTTCCAGAGAGAGAAGTAAGACTATTCAGCAACCATTCTCCTTTCTTCACAAAACCCCAGGCCTGTGCTCGCTTATTCTCTGGCCGACAGAGAACAGTGGGTCTGGAGAAGAAAGCCTGGGTGTGTGTCCCAGATTTGTGCTTACTGACACTTAACTCTGGCCGAGTTACTTGGCCTCTGTCAACCTTGGTTCCTCATTTGTAAAAGGGGATAACAATAGCACCTGTCCTCACAGTGAGGTTGTAAGGATTAAATGAGCCTATGATACAAAGAAAGAACTTAGCCAAATGCCTGGTACTTAGCACTCAGTACTCATGAGCTATTCTCTTCACTAATTATAAAACCTCATACAGTCCGAGGAGCAGGGAGGCAGAAGTCAAAAATTCTAGCTTTCAGTCCAGGCTCTGAGGCGTATGTGGTCTTTTGACCTCTCGAGACCCAATTTTCTTCTGCAAACCGACTTTGGTTAGCCTAGCCAGAAGAAGGTCTCAAACTGGCTGGGCATGAATTACTCCAGAAACATTAAAAATACAGATTCCAGGCCCGACCTGGAAATTCCTGTTTCCAAACATCAGTGTGACACTGGGCTCGATGGGCTCTTCCAGTTCAAAATTATACAATGGGTTCTCACAAATCCATGATCCCATCTCCTCCATCCAAGTCCACCTCTGATTTTGATTGATAGGTCCCTCAGCTATATAGCTTGTCACCTAGATCAAAAGAACTAGAAGAAGGGC